TGGTTGCAACATGTCACTAAAGATAGATTTTTTGCACTTTCATCTAGATGTTTTTTCCCACCGAACTGCGGAGGAGTGAGCGACGAGCGTGGTGAGTGATTTCACCCAGGACATTGCAACAATGGAGAAACGCTATCATGGCAAATGGAGCCCATCAATGCTCGCAGACTATGGCTGGGCAGTGACAAGAGATGCTCCCTTTAATGAATACAAGAGACAAGCCAAGAAGCGCCAAGTAGACACTGAATAAGGACTAAACTATGTACTTATATATACATTATAGTTTTTAGCCTTTTGTTTCATAATACATTTTATTCATATAACCCTTTTGCTAATTTTTAAAGTGTTACATGAACAGGACAGGTGACATGTTATTATGTAAAGCAACCATAAATACATGAAAAGAACCTAGGTTTAAAATGTATGAGTAAAACTCTACTATCTACACAATAAATATAGACGTAAAATGTAAAAACTTAAATATCTTGTGAACAGTAGTCAATCAGTTATTTTCATATTTGAATTTAGCACGTGAAAATACATAATACACAGCACATTTCATCTCTGAAGCAGACGACATCTATAAAGTTGTAGACCAGCGATACCTGGGTACTCGGTGACACCTTACACTGCACAGCGACGTGGCCCTCGCAGAACGATGGCCCCCTGTTGCAGAGAGAGGTTCGTAGGGTTTGAATCCAGCGGTCGCCCTGGTTAATACTGCGGTACACGTGCCATCTGCTTCACAGTGGACACGTTAAAGATTGCCCCCACCCCCGATGTTATTTGCAAGAGTAAGTCATTGTGTGTGGTCCACAATTACCGAATATATAAAATGTATTGGAAGCTTTCGTGACTGCAGGAATCCATACTCGTTGGTTCTTTCGGTAAAGTCACGTAGGTATAAAATAAAAGAAATCACGACGTTTCGGGCGCAACACAAGCGTCCATCATCAGGTGGGAAAGCGTGGTCTGCTGCTGAGGCAGACTGTTTTAAAAGGTTTGAAATGGGTGTAGCTCACGGGTCATAAAGAAGTGGCCGGGGCTAGTGATGTTAACGTGATAAATCAGCATGATGTTAATGTGAGACATTAGCATGTAACTGTAAGATAAGAGGAGAGCAGCCTCCTGGACGAGGGCACGGAAGTGGCTATGTTAATGTGAGGAATTGGCATGATGTTAATGTGAGAAAATATCATGTAAAAGTAATCTAGGAAAGCGGCCTCCTAGACGAGGGAACAGAAGTGACGTTGCTAGATCTGAAATCGCTGCTATCCTCAAAAACGCTAAGAAACCCATTATCAGCAAGGACGAGCGTTTTGAACTCTCTAAATTAAAAAAAAACAGATGACATTGTCATCCTCTCAGCCGACAAGGGCAACACCACTGTCATCATGGATAAAACCACTTACAACAAAATTCAGGACCTTCTTAATGATGGCAACTATACCAAAATCAACAGAGATCCCACCAATTGCCTAGCTACTAAAACCAACAATATCATCACTAAATCGACTTCTCTAATCGATCAGACCAAGCAGAGCTCCCTAAAACCTTCAGCTGCTAGACCACCCAGATTTTATGGCCTTCCAGAAATCCACAAAGTATGTACCCCGCTCCGTTCTATCGTCTCCACCATTAACTCACCCACCTACAAACTGGCCCGATTTCTGTCTGAGACTCTGCTTCCTTTCACTGGCAAGTCCACCTCAGCTGTACTTAACTCAGCTCACTTGGTTTCTCTAATCAAGGACATCTCACTGTCTCCGGATGATTTGCTTGTCAGTTTCGATATAGTCTCTCTGTTCACCAATGTACCTGTACTTGACACCATTGCAATCATTGAAGCCTTGGTCCAACAAGGACTGAATCCAGATGTACCAACTTTGGTCAGGCACTGTCTTACCAACACATACTTCACCTGGAATGGTACATTCTACAGACAAAATGAGGGTACTCCAATGGGTTCTCCCTTATCGCCAGTGCTAGCAAATGTTTTCATGGAAAAATTTGAGACAGATGCCATCCAGACATCCACCCTACGTCATCCCTTGTGGAAGAGATACGTAGATGACACGTTCGTCATCTGGTCACATGGCCTGCCAGCACTGAACCAATTTCTCAACCACATCAATTCCATACACCCGTCTATCAAATTCACCATGGAAGTGGAAAAAGATGGCAAGCTACCATTCCTGGATGTTTTGATTGAGAAGAGACATGATGGCTCGTTGGGACATTCAGTCTCCAGGAAAGCCACCCACACGGATTCCTATTTAAAGCCTGACTCCCACCACCATCCAGCCCAGAAGAATTCCCTCATCAAAACACTACACCATAGGACCCTTTGCTTCTCCGACCAGCACAGTGAGTTGTTTTCCAAGACGGAGGTACTGTGCAAACCTACCGGCTACCTTCAGAGATTTGTTCATGAAGCCATCCAGATATATAAACACAGACACAACTTCAACCGAGAAGATGGGTACAAACTGAGCAATCCTTGGAAGGACGTTATTAACCAGGTAAAGTCTTAAATGACTGTGATGTTTCCATCCAACCTGCCTATGTCAGCTGTTATTTCGACCCTCTGTGTCTCTCTCTCTATGCCTCTCTCTTAGAGCTCTCATGCTCACATGTCCGTTCCATTGCACTTTCATGCCTTTGGATTGCACTCTCATGCTCACATTTTTTTTGGATTGTACTCTCATACTCACATTAACATCACTAGCCCCGGCCACTTCTTTTTGACCCTTGGGCTACACCCATATCAAACCTTTTAAAACAGTCTGCCTCAGCAGCGGACCATGCTTTCCCACCTGATGATGGACGCTTGTGTTGATCCCGAAACGTCGTGATTTATTTTATACCTACGTGACTTTACCGAAAGAACCAAAGAGTATATAAAATGTACCCACAAATTTATCCGTGGGAATTATACGTAGCAATCACCGTCCCTTACTCTTGCAAATGATAATCGTCATGGTATCTTTGAAGTCTTACCTGGTTAAACAAAGTATTATGTACGTTGAACTTTCGCACCACACGTGGCAAACCCTGTTAATCGGAGGTGCGGGTGGATAGACAACAAACTAAACGCAGAGTAACCTTGAATTCCACTCCCCCCAACTCTCCGTGAGTAATAGGAGTGGTTGCGGAGAGCGTGGATGAGTTTCCCGAACTGGACCGTGTGCTCATGTCCAGCTCCAGCTCCATTTTGCCAGTGGAGGTCTCGCTCCAAATTGAGCGTTATCTTTTCATCGGCAACATAACTGCCCCTAAGTCTGCTGGCCTGTCGCTCCACACGAAGCTTCGAGTCTTCGTGGCCAATGCAGTCACCTCTCTTCTCTGTGACGTGAAGCGTGGACCCCTTGTTACAGGTACCACTGTGGAGGCATAATGTTCCAGCCGGCTTGCCTACTCGCTGATCTGTTTCAAGATCTATTACTGCGGTGTCGAGATGTTAACTACCTCGCCAGGTATGCAGGAGATTGTGGGTTCGATCCTGACCCTGACGCCTGTATATTGGGAGTTTGTGTGTCTCTCTTCCCGTGGTGCTATGGATTTTTCTCTGGGTCCTCCGGGTTTTCCATCCACATTTAGAAACACGCACTGAGAGTATTTCGCTGCTATAGATTTCCACATGATAGGCCACTTCGTTGAGCTATCATTTGTGAGCAGGTCACTTCTGACAAAGAGCTATATAGTGGGTCTATTCTAAACAACAATGTGTTTAGAATAGTTTAGTTTATCTGGCAGGTGAGAATGCTGATCCGCAGGCCAGTCTGCCGTATGTTCCATAGAGGGGGCTAAACAGGTGCAGCATGGGATAGAGAAAAGAGCGCGTTGATGTGGTACAGGAGGATTGAGAGCCGGTTGGAGTTGCTGTCGATAGTCACCAGTGGTTTTAGAATTAGCCTTTACGGAGGAGGCTCGTTAAGGACGCTACTGGGCAGTTAGTAGCAGCCGCTATCTAGCAACAATGTAGGGAGGAGAAGAGCTGCTCAGAACAGCGAGCAGAGCACTCAACAGAAGAGTGGGGAGCGCAGGTGGTGCATCTGCCGGTTATCTCGGTCAATTATTCCGTAACACCTGGGATCTGTTCCGTGATCTCCTGCCAGCAAGCCTTTCAGCACCTCCCATGGCCTCAAAGTGCACTTAGCCGAGCACCAATGCCGCGGTTGTGTTTGTGTGTCTTTGTGTTTGTGTCGTCGTTCTTGTTGTCTGTGTGTGTATAGGTAGCTTTGTGGGGAGTGGTAGTGCAGTGGTTTTGCGCACTGCACTCCGAACCAGGCGAACTGAGTTATAATCACGCTCAGGGCCAAAAACTGGTGATTATTTTAACCGGTCTTGGGCCTCCCCTAGGTCGACTCAGCCTTTAAATAAATATCGGGTGCGGTGTGTAAACATCAACACTGGGAAGGCAAAAGTGGCCAGCCTTGGTGTTGGACACACCACCAATCTCGTGTCCCGTGCCGGCTTTCAAAGGTGCTTGCTAACGGAACTTGCCTCAACAGTATGTTGACGCTAATCGGGGGATCTTTGTCTTTGCGTGTGTGTGTGTGAAGCTCCGAATCTTCTCGTCCACAGTGACACCCTACCTTATCTACGTTAACGGAGCGTGGAGTCCTTTAAAGGAACATTATTTTCTCGTCCTTGCAAGAGAGCTGCTAAGCTCAACAGGGACCTAACCAGCTGCGACAATAATGAAGCCCTGAGTCTACGAGTCTCGGTTTGGGAACTACTGCTCATAGCAACGTTAAAGGGAACCCTCTGGCCCGCGGGTCCAATGCGGCCCACGATTTAACTTCACGAGGCCCGTGACCACACGAGGCCCACCACTGCCATACAGACAATATCTCTCCGTCACCGTCAGCACCCGCAGACGCCTGTCTGCCAACTAACACGTCAGCAGCCGTTGCTCAAAGCCTCCCGGGTAACCCTCCCGTGCTCACCGTCAACATCACCCCCTTCCTTCCCCGTTCCCCGTTCCGTGCGGGCAGGTGTGGGCGACTCGCAGCCGACGACTTTGGGAGACTAAAGCCACGCACGTGGTCGCGACGACACTCGGGCGGCCGGGCGCTGCTGCGGGAAATCGTTCAACGCCTCCGCGCCTCCGTGCCGCGAGTCCTGGCGGCGGCGGCGATGTCCGGTGGCGAGGGTGAGCCGCCGCTGGGGTTTGTGCGGGTCCTCTACGAGTTCTCCTACGAGGACAGCGACGGCGGCCGCGGCCGGGTCACGCCCGGCGAGCACTACTCGCTGCTGCAGACCAGCACCGCCGAGTGGTGGCTGGTGGGGCCCCTCGGTGGTGGCGGGGCGATGTTCTACCTGCCGGCCAGGTACGTGCAGAGGACTGCGGCGGCGGCGGCGGTGGGCCCGAAGCGCGTGGAGGTCGTGCGTCAGCGCGTGCCACCCATGCCGCCTCCACGGTGCCGGACGGCGTGGAGGAACCGCGTGGAGCCGCGCGTCCACTCGGAGCAGAGTGGAGATGGATTGTTCTCTGTGGAGGATGAGGAGGAGGAGGAGTGGCGGTCGAGACTGGACGTCAATCGCAACGATCACCACAACCACCACCACCACAACCACCACCACAACCACCACCAGCAGCAGCAGGACCACGACCAACGTCACCACGACCACCAGAGTGACCGTCACGATGATCGTGACCAACACGACCAACACTACCACCACGACCAGTACCAGCACGATGACCAGCACCACGACCAGTACCAGCACCATGACCAGCACCACAACCAGTACCACGACCAATACCAGCATCACGTCCAGTACCAGTACCAGCCCCACAACCACGACCACCACAACCACCACCGCCATCGCCATCGCAACCATGACCAGGACCCCCACGACCAGGACCCCCACGACCAGGACCCCCACGACTCCCAAGATCACATCGACTCGGGCGCCCGCGAGGACGTGGCGCTGACGGCGCTCTACACGAGCGTGTACACGGTGCACGGCCGTGCCCTCTCCACGGTGGCCGGCGAGCGGCTACTGCTGGTGGAGAGGGCGACGGGCGACTGGTGGGTCGTGTGCCGGCCGGAGCGGCGGGAGGAGCCGTTCTACACGCCCGTGTCCTACGTCGCTCGCAGAGATGCGCCGGACGTGGCGAGGGTGGCGAGTGGTGGACACCGCGGATCCGGCGTCGGCCAGAGCAGCGGCGGCGGCAGCGGCGGCAACAACGACACCAGCAGCGACTGCTACAGCCAGCGCAACGACAGCTGCATCATCGGCAGCAGCAGCAACCACGCAGGCATTGGCGGCTTCAACCACAACAGCAGCAGCATGAACAGCAGCAGCAACAGCACGGGTATTAGCAGCATTGATCAGAACAGCAACAGCAGCAAGGGAATAGGCAGCTACAACAGCAACAGCAGGATCAGCAACAACGCGGGCATTAGCAGCTTCAAGCATTACAACAGCAACATGAACAGCAGCAACGACAGCAGGAAGGACATTGGCAGCATTAACCATAGCAGCCCCATCAGCAACAGCAGCACGGCCATTAACAGCGTCAACCACAACAACAGCAGCAGCAGCAGCACGGGCGTTAGCAGCTACAACCACAGCAGCAGCAGCAACAGCAGGACGGGCATTAACAGCATTAACCACAACAACAGCAGCAGCACCAGCACGGGCATTAACAGCGTCAACCACAACAACAGCAGCAGCAACAGCACGGGCATTAACAGCATCAACCACAACAACAGCAGCAGCACCAGCACGGGCATTAACAGCGTCAACCACAACAACAGCAGCAGCAACAGCACGGGCGTTAGCAGCTACAACCACAGCAGCAGCAACAGCAGCACGGGCATTGCCATATTTAATCACAACAGCCACAGCAAGGGCACTAGGAGATTCAACCACAACAACAACAACAGCAGCAGCAGCAACAGCAGCAACAGCACGGGCATTGGCAGCGTCACCCACAACAACAGCAGCAGCAGCAACAGCACGGGCATTGGCAGCATCACCCACAACAATAGCAGCATCATTGACAGCATCACCCACAACAACAGCATTAGCAACAGCATTGGCAGCGTCACCCACAACAACAGCAGCAGCAACAGCACAGGCATTGCCAGCGTCACCCACAACAACAGCAGCAGCAACAGCATTGCCAGCGTCACCCACAACAGCAGCAACAGCACAGGCATTGCCAGCGTCACCCACAACAACAGCAGCAGCAACAGCATTGCCAGCGTCACCCACAACAGCAGCAACAGCACGGGCATTGCCAGCGTCACCCACAACAACAGCAGCAGCAGCGGCACGAACAGCAGTGAGAGGGCACAGGCGGCCGTGGCGGTGGGCAGCGCGCCGCGTGGCTCCACCCCGCGGGGGAACCACCCCGGCACCGTCGCGCGACCTGCGCCGCCCTCGCCGCCCTCGCCGCCCTCGCCATCCTCGCCATCCTCGCCATCGTCGCCGAAGTCTCCGACGTCGCCATCCTCGCCGAAGTCCCCGACGTCTCCGACGTTGGTGCGCGTCGTGCACCCGTGCGACTACACGAGCGAGCGGGGTCGCCGCGTGCGCATCGCGCGGGGCGAGCTCTTCGTGCTGTCGCGCAAGACCGACGCCTTCTGGTGGAGGGTGAGGCGCCTGGGCGAGCGCAAGCCCTTCTACGTGCCCACGGGCTACGTGCGGGAGGTGCGCGGCGTCGGCGTCGGCGGCGGCGGCGGCCTCGGGAACGCGGCCGCAACCGACGGCGGAGGCCTCCGCGTTCCGCCGCGGCCGTCGGGCGTAGCGGCGGAACCGGCCGAGTCGCGGCCGCCCCACCGGGGCCCCGGCGATCCCCGGCCCGCGGCGCTGCGGGTGCTCTTCAGCTTCGAGTTCGCGGGGCGCGCCAGCGGGCAGCCCGTGCGCATCGCCGAGGGCGAGGAGTTGGAGCTGGTGAGCAAGGAGAGCGCCGAGTGGTGGAGGGCGGCGCGGCCCGGCGGCCCGACGCTGCTGGTGCCGTCGGCGTACGTGGACGAGGTGGCGGCGGCGGCGGCGGCGGCGCCGTCACGTCGCTCGTGATCGAGACAGACGGAGCGTTAAAAAACCACACGAGGCTTGTAGCCTTGCCGGCAACGGTGAGCAAGCTGGAAGTCGTCCCAAGGAGCGTGGTGTTGGGTGGGGGGGGGGGGGGTTGTGCGCGTGTTTGTGATTCCACTGAGAGACAAAGAGGAACGTGTGGAGTAAAAAATTGCAAGTTGGAGACGGCAAATCTTAAGACAGAAGTGGGATTGGCCAGGGCAGATGACAACACGAGACGATGGGGTCTAGGCCAGGGGTCGGCAACCTAAATAACGAGAAGAGGCTTTCGTTTTTTTGTTCGACTTCGGTACAAAACTCAATATTTCAAGAGCCGCAATGCACGTGAACACACAAGACCAGGACAAATATCCCCCGTGTAGCCTTAACCGCACCAGGCACTCATTTGAGGTTGAGTCGACCTAGGAGAGGCCCAGGACCGGTGCAGATAATCGTCACCGGTGTTGGTGGCCGTGAGCGGGAATCGAACTCGGGCTGCCAGGTTCGTAGCGCAACACGTTAACCGCTACACTACCGCTCCCCCACCCACAATAACAACAACAACCGCCATTCGCCACTAAGTGGCGGTGACGTCACCACGACGCTTGTGCCAGGCCATGTGCACCTTGAGTCCACGTGAAGTGTCGAACGCGCGCTGGCAGGAGGTCACGGGGCAGACCCAGGTGCCACGGGTCGACTGACTGAGATGACTGGCTAGTACACCACCTGTGCCCCCTACTGTGCCAACTTGCTGTGCTTTAGCCACCCGGCGCTCCGCTCGTTGTTGTGAGCGTCGCTCCTCCGCCCTCCGTTGTTGGAGGACGACTGCCTCCAACTGCCCAGTAGTGTCCTTCACGAGCCTCCTCCACAGAGGCCGATCTTGACACCGCTGGTACCAGTCATCGGCAAGTCCACTCAGCTCCACGTCCTCCTGTACCACATCACTCCATCTCTTCTCCAGCCCGTGCCGCGCCCGTTCAGCCCCCTCGATCCGGCTGAACAAAAGCTGTTTCGGCATGCGGTGGCTGGGCATGCGGGCTACATGACCCAGCCCCCCCCCCACACACTTACACAGACACACCCATAGGCACACACAGACACACAAGGACACACAAGGACACACAGACACACACAGGCACACACAGACACACACAGACACACAGGCACACAGACACACAGACACACAGGCACACACACACAGGCACAAACACACAGGCACAAACACACACAGGCACAAACACACACAGGCACACACACGCACAGACACACAAAGGCACAAACACACAGGCACAAACACACACAGGCACAAACACACACAGGCACACACACGCACAGACACACAAAGGCACAAACACACAGGCACAAACACACAGACACAAACACAGGCACTAACACACACAGGCACACACACAGGCACAAACACACAGGCACAAACACACAGACACACACACAGGCACAAGCACACAGGCACACACACACACACATGCACGTTGTACACACACACGTTGTACACACAGACACACACACACACACACGTTGTACACACAGACACACACACACAGACACGTTGTACACACACACACACAGACACACACACACATGCACGTTGTACACACACACGTTGTACACACAGACACACACACACACACGTTGTACACACAGACACACACACAGACACGTTGTACACACAGACACATACACACATGCACGTTGTACACACAGACACACACACATACACGTTGTACACACACACACAGACACACACACACACACGCACGTTGTACACACGTCACGACGCAGTCCGTGAAGAGCCGCAGGTTGCCCCGGCCCCAAGGGTTCGCGCGGGACGCAAACTCGGAGAACAATTCCCACCCTGAGAGCCCTTCCCGACCACGACGACATTGTACAAAGTGCACATCTGGTGGTGGTGGCGGTGGTGATGGTGGCGGTGGTGGTGGTGAGTGGGCGGGTGGGTGGGTGGGATTTGGGCCAAGTCTGTGTGAACAAGAGAATATATTTTTGTTTATTCACGAAACAAACCGTCCGGCCACATGCCCCCCCCCCCTCTGTGATTTATTTTACACCGTGTGTACGCGTGCGCATTTGTGTCGCAGATGAACGCGCACGGTACAAGCAGACTTACCCACGATTTAACACGATAGGCGCGTTATTGAAAATCTTCGCCGAAGGCGAAAATCGCGTTCGTTCAACGCTAATTTCCCTAGAATTTCCCCATAAGAAATAGGCACTTCAAGTTGTTGCTCTAACGTTACCACGTTTATACTTTTCTTACTTGCACAACCACTCGAAGCATCGCTGCCACGCTCCTCACCCTTGCCACGCATAATGAATGCGCACTCTTTTTGCATTTCAAAGCAAATGCAAAGCCATGGCAATTGACCACCCGCACACTTTGCGTGATGCGTCCGCGACGGGCTGTAGGAAGCGGCACGGGAGATGCGTGCGCGCGTTCCATGAATGGGAAATCAAAGAAAATCAAAGAAAATCAAAGAAAATCAAAGATTCGCCAATCTGCAACTGCGGCAAAGCCCGAACCATCAAACGCAACCCTGCGCACACGGTGGCGGCATCGATGCAATCCGTACGGCCGCCGAGGATATTGTTCGAAGGACCTCGGCATTCGACTGTGACATCATTGCAAACTGCTGCTTACGTGCCATAGGACAGGCGAAGACCAGCGGCCGCTACATTCGGCAGGACGTAACAAAAAAAAGAATTCCATTTTTTGTTCATCGAAATTGTGACCCCCCCCCCCCCACCGAGAGTTCGTTACACATCGCTAGTTGTGGGGGGGGCTGAATCGTTTCACTGTTAAACCTCTGCAGCCACGTGCTTGCCATCGTGAGTAGACGTCAGTGGAACATGGGTAAGCCTCAGCGTCGTGGGTGACCGCCGTTTGTCGTGACGTTGAAGTGTCCCCGAGTTGGAGAGCCACAGGGACGCTGGCACGGCGGTTCCGCGATGGGCCTTTACGGCCTCGAAGAGTAATCTTCTATGTATGTTGTCCGTCTTTCGCGGCGTACGTAGCCAACCATACCAATCGGAGACACTTCCCTGGGCAAATAATTGGCGCAGTTGTTTATTATTATTATTATCATTGCGGTTCTGAAGAGCATCTGTTTACAACTGAATAAGTAAATATGCCCACGTGTATGCTTACAACGATTGAATACGGTACTTAAATCGAGGACAGTGGAGGCACCGCGGTCGGCACACAGCGCTGTGAGCCAGCCAAGGCTAGCACGAGGGGCGAGTGGATTTATGAAGCAGTCCTGGCCCCCCCCCCGCTCTCCCCCCACTTCCACAACCCGCACTGAGCGGCATGGTGAAGTACGCTCATAGAACGTCCACAACTGACATGGAATGGAGTGGGCCGTAAATATTGTTATTGTATCAAAGTGCTGTTAGAGTGGCGCACGAGGAGGTAGTGCGGCTAACACCAGGCCCGGCCGCCTTTGTCTTCCCAGACCTAATGTCCCCGGTACTAATTTAAGCCCGAGTCAACTTAGGGGAATCACAGACGCGTTGCGGACAAAACACACCACGGAAATTGGCCGTGGCAGGAATCGAACTCGGGTCACTGGGTTTGCAGAGCAGTGCACTAATCACTGCACTTCTGCTCCCCAAAGACAAAGACAAAGACCCTCTCCGTGTAGCCTTAACAGACCGTAGGGGCAAGTGCTGCTTGCGAGCCGATAATGAAGGCCGGCACGGCACACGAGGAGGTGGGTGATCAGCACCATGCCCAGCCGCCTTTGTCTCCCCAGTGGCGATGTTTACACCAGGTACTAATTTGAGGCTGAGGCGACCTAGGGGAGGCCCAGGACCGCTTGAGATAATCGTCACTGGTGTTGTTGGGCGTGAGCGGGAATTGAACTCAGAGTTGTCGAGTTTGTAGCGCAGCGCGCCAACCATTACCCCACCACTCCCCACACGCATACTCGAGCTGATATTGCCTGAGGCAATGGATCCTAGTGAGAGCTGTTGTGGGTCTCCACAGGACAGCGATTCGTTGGATCTAATTGATGGATTCATTGACACTTGCGTAAAGTAATTGTATCGAGCAGACTGAATCGACGCACGGTTTATCTTTTCACTCATTCGTTCATCATGTTTTTGGCATTTTGACGTAAAATTCGTGTCAACCATCCCCGATGAAAATCCTTGCCCTACATTGACCGAGTGAAATGATTAACAATAATCCATTGAGCAGAATTATTGATGGCTCAGTTGACATACAAACAACACTTGACACATATCGGCAGAGTGACACGGTGGCCTTAAAAGGGAACGTATAATCGGCGACGTTTCGGGCATTGCCCCTTCGTTTCGAGCAGTGGATGTGTTTATGAAGAAGGGTTAGTGCACGGTTAGCATGCGCCATCCACAGCACTGTCCACTAGAGGCCACTGTGCATTTGTTGTGTTTAATTCACGGGCAGGTTTTTTTTTAAATATCACTCAAACCTTCCAGGTTGGCGTAAGGCCTCCACCACCACCACCACACGTCCCGGGTTTGTTTTTCCTCCCCCGGGACAGGGACCCGGTGGGTTTTAAGCTGTCCTCGGTGCCAACCCCTCGAAGTTTTTTTTTTGTGAACGTCGTGGGGGAATTCTGTTTTTTTTGTCCTCTAGCTTTTTGTTATATTATTTGGTCTCGTTCTCAACTCACGATGGCAAAGCGGAGTCAAGTTAAAGCTGAATTTTTTATTTAGCCACGTGACACATCGAGGCATGCGGGGCCAGTCTCATTGGCAAAACAGCAGCCTGGGTCACCAGAGTGGCAACGGCAAACCACCTGAACGAAAGTACAGCAACGAAGCAGAGCGAAATATACGGGTTAAAAACAATCGTGTCGCGTGAGAAAATCTGAATCAGAATATGCATTTATACTGGAGGAATCCGATGAGCTATAATGGTTTTCTGCACGGATGTCCAGTAATTGCACCTGACCAAACAAATATGGTTGGGCTTTTTTTTGCAG